ACTCGACCTCGTCTATGTCGTGAGGATGATATTCAGAAACATGACGTTTTCAGTCAAAAACGTCAATGGATTTGTCGGGAGGACAAAACTAAACACAAGGTTCCCCAGGAAGCCCAGAGAAAGAGTGAGGGGTTGAAAACCTCTCCTCACCAGTACATATAACACCAGTTCCATCAACAGACATTTCAATAACAAGATCAGTAGTCAAAGAGTCAGATTGTGTATCAGTCTCTTTGCTGTGGTTGAGGTCATTTACATAAGAATCAGCATTGCGCATGTCACTGTCACTGTTATTGTTGCAATTGAGTTCATTTGCATCACAATCGACAGTACACGTGTGAGTGCTGGCGAGTATTTTTTGATCAGTGCTATTGACAATATTATCAGTTTTATTTTGTTTGACAGAGTTTTCTTTATCGAGATTTTCATATGAGTAGTATCTTTGTTGCCAGCATTTGTTGTATTGACTTCAGTGCGATTATCACCTTTTTTTATAGATTTACTTTGTCATGTTTTTCTTTTTGACCTTTACCATTTGTTGTTTCGTTTACAATGTTTTGTATTTTATCAATGTCGCTTACATTATCGATTTCTGCATTAACACAGTTTATGCGTGATTGTCATTAGTTTGTGTATCAGTTTGATCGATTTCATTATTGGTTATTGCTTGTACAATTTGTTTTTCAGTAGTGTCCATTTCTGTTTCAGCAGTATTTGGTATTTGACCAGTGTCATTTTTTGCCGACAGTTTCGTTGGATATGTCCTTTCTTGTTACATTTATGGCAAACAATCTCATCGGTTGACAAGTAGATTATATATGTGTGCTGTTCGTGTGCAATATTAATAACATCGTTGAGATTGTCATCACAGAGCATGTATACTTGTCTGTGGAATGATTTCTTCAGTTCAGATTCAAGCTCAGCATTTGAAATAAATGATACACCTGATAAGATAACCTTGGTAGCCGGTTTGACTAGTGGCTGCACATAAACGAAACAATCACCAATTGAATGTATACCGACGGTACAAACCTCTTCTACTGATTCCAAGTCCAAAAAAACAATAACGTTGCAACTGACTCGTGAAGCAGCTAATATTTTCCGGGGCCAATATTAGCATTAGCATAGCTTTCTAACACCACTAATTGACTCACAACGGATACCATGTTTCCGTGTAAGTTCTGCAAAAGGCAATCTTGGCTACACTACCAAAACAAAGAGAACAGAATACAAAACGATCCAAAAAACGGGCCGATTTTTGCCAAAACAAACTAAAATTGAATAGAACCAAGCCAGCAAACACTTATATAAAGGTTGAAAACGAAAGAAAAACTCACGCAACTATTTTGAAGGTGAAAACTTGGTTGATAGCAGGAGCTCAGATCGGTGTGTGTATGCCTCATTTACATACATACATACATACATACATGTAATAGTTGAGTAGTCAAATCTGTCTTCAATCACTGCAATATACAGTCCATCACGTTGAATCAAGTATATTTCTCAGAATAGAGAGTGTGTTACAACTGCATCTTATGATGAAATGAATATCCTATTTTGCATGCTTGTCAATCAAAAGCTTTTCTGGTTAATCGCATCACAGAATTAGTGGATGCTTGGAACGATTTGATTGCACATAAAAAAAAGAAACAAAATTGACGCCTTATTCAAAAATACAATTCAAACAATACACTTGTAAAATTACACTAAAACAAGATGAGACAAACACTAACCAACTTTTTAAGTATTTCTAGAACCAGGTGATTGCCATACAATCACGTAATCAGTTTGCAGTTGACATGAATGTTCCACAATTCTTGTGAAATCTTCGTTGCATATCACACAAATTATATACTCTCATCTTATAACTCCTTGATTCACCATACGTACATACATACCCTGTCTGTATGTATGTAAGCATGCATGTATGTAACTTTGCACAAAGGAATAAAAAACGCTATTTGTATGGAAATATGTTTTTATTTATAAATGTATATATTATTGTTGGTATGACTGAATACAGTTTGTTTCTCTTAAGTTAGATGCCAACGATTAAATAACTGAGATATACGACAACTTTGCCCTGAATGAATAACTAGTCAACAAAGTTTGTCAAATACCAAAACCTTGTTCAATTGCACTGTGAGTAAACTATAAACCAAGTCAAAATACACATCAGAATGTTAAAGCTAATGAAGATGGATAAATTTCATAACACAACTATGGGGAATTACGATTATTACACTTTCCCTACTGACTATTACTAACCGCACCCCTAGTTGGGCGCGTAAACTACAATTGTTCCTGACCATAATTGAAAAAACTAAAAATATTCTCATTAAAAGCCGCAACTATACTTTCTAACGTTTACCTCGAGTCCATTCAACGCAACATTCGGCATCCATCTTTAATTTGATACTCGTAAAGGGTGACTTGTTCGGTCTTATTCTTATGGTACAAGTAAAAAGGACTACCTATCTTAATAAGAAAAGAGCATTTAATGGCTGCCAGAGGCTGTGACTGAGAAATTGTTAGCTCAAAGGAAAAACGATTCCAAAATATCTTTGAGGTTTCTTTTCATAAAATATTTATTTTGTTTCTTTACAAAGTTCAAACCACAAATATGTAATATAGGCCTTTTTTAACATATGTTTATTTCTTTTTTTTCAAATTTCACCTGACAAATGTACCTATTACAAACCACACCCTGACTTTGATGAATTTCAATTAAAGCGCGGGAGTCGTCACCTACGCATGCGTCAGATAGCCATAGCATGTCATAGTTTACAAACAAGCGTCTACCCACGAGCCTTTGCGTTTTTAGTGTGTTATCGTCGCTTGGGACTCAATTTGCGGGCGTGCGCAGGTGACGACCCTCCCGCTTTAATTTTGATGTTGCAACATCATAATACAAACCGTGGTTAATAATAGGAATTTAACGGTAGATAAAGCGAATGAACGAATTTAATGCATGTCTATGCAAAGTATAAATAACTTTTGACCAAAAACGAGAAAAAATAATCCCAAAAATATAGAATTTAAGATTAGAAATGAATAGACTACATTTTACTTATCAAAGCATTCTGGCTACCAGTTTTGAAGAAGAAATCGAAAACGGCATTTTGGCCAAAAATGACAAAAATATTTGATAAAAATAGAAAACTCGAGATATGATCATGTTAATAAATCTGACACAAGTATACCCAAGGTAGCTACATAGAAAATAATAAAAAAATCAAGATATCAGTTTGGAAGAAGAAGTAAAAAATAATATTTTTGACTAAAAATAACAAATATTTGCTAAAAATAGAAAATTTAATATATGTTCATGAAATTAAATGAACAAATTTGATAAAGGTCCAAGGTAGGTACATAGCAAGTATCAAAGCATTCCAGCTACTGATGTTGATGAAGTCGTCAAAACTAGCATTTTTGATGAAAAATTTGCTAAAAATAGAGATTTGAAGATACTGGTATGAAATGAACAAATCTGATAGATTTACCTATTTGCCAATACATACAGGTTACCAGTTTTGAAGAAATCAAAAATACAATTATTGATGGAAGGAGAGATAGATGGACAGACGACGACAGACAATCTAAACAGCTCCACTCTGTCATGAGCGAAAAAATATCTCATTCCCCAATTAATCTAAGTGAGATTGGATAGAGAAACTAAAAAGTGATTCATAGCACAGATCTTAATGCTTCAACAGTGAAGCACGTGGTTTAACAGTTTTATAGAAAAGTTTTTTGCCAATCACAAAAGAAGAATGTCATCTTTTTGAGAAACTTTATAATCCGTATCTGTATCAGAAAATATATCTGCATCACCAGCACGGTGATGCCTTCATCGACTAAAACAGCATGTTCTTTTTCTTCATCAACTTCTTCACAAACTATACCAATAACACAATTATTAGGCTTCAGAAGTAATTGGCAATCTTTTAATTATTTCACTTTCATTTGCACTATCACAATTGAATATGCTAAACAGAGTGAGGATTTTATTCTTGGGGTCTCCCCCGCTTCTGGAGAAATAGATTCCACTTCGATAGGAGTATTGTCCGCAGTTGTAACAGGAGTGTCTCTGACCTCATCAGTCACATTTGTTTCTAGGGGATATAACGTTGTTATGGCGCGTGTAGTGAATCTGTTCTTGATGCGTAGTTCTGCCGCATGAACAATACCATCATGACCGGTGATAAATTTCACGACCCTTCCTAGGGGCCAGCGAATGCGTTTTGTGACATCATTGTGAACAAGTACAACATCTC